TGTATATGTATATGTATATATATATAAATATATATATATATGTGTGTGTGTGTTTGTGTCATTTTATGTTGATGTTGAAGTATATATATGTATACGTATGTTTATTTGTATGTATGTTGACACATTTGTTTACGTAGGTTGTTAGCTTATATAGGGCACTTAGCGATTCATGTTGCAGTTGATTATTGTATACAGTATACACATTGTACTCATGCGCAAGTTCATACAAGAATTTATATTTCTGTATCGATCTCGCTCATTCGATCTGTCATGTTCCAGACTTTTGTCCACCGATTGCCACAGAATTATCCTTAACCCTTTGAATTGAGCTCGTTCCTGTTTCTCGTGTGTGGGTAAAGACAGTATTTTCGTATTCACTTATCACCTCATTGCCTACGCTCTATTTCTTTATCTACCAGGAAGCTGATGATCCCACAGCCGTCAAGTTTTACCGCAAGTCACATGGGGTATGCTATTTATTTTGTTGATTGAGTTAGTAATTACAGCGGCACGTATGAGTGATGCTCTGTCTCCTTTAATAAAGTCTTCCACTGATTGTGGCGTGTATAGTACAGTATCGTTACTTGTTCCTTTGGATGGGGATCTGCACTGTTGTGTGCAGCCTGTGCTTGGTTGCTGATGTATTGTGCTGGGGATGCCTATTTATATGGAGGCTTAGGAGTGATATGTATTGGTGGTAGCCATATGGGTTAAGTGGCAATGACTATCGTGAGGCACTTTGGTCGTGCGATCTTCTTTCGTACTATGTAATCTCCGATTAGTTGTCAATGGATAGTATAGTGACATTGTTCGTGTATTGTGAGATGTAGAAAACGATGCCGCAACTACAGATGTGTTTCTTCGCTCCGCTGTAGTGCTCTGAATATCTTACTATCAGCTCTACATGACCGAGCGCTTCTCTCCTTGACACAGATTCAATCTCATCTCAAAAAATATCATATTCAAATGAAGTGGCCCTTCTCTGCCATGTGCACATATACATTCTAAATGGGCTAGGGATCGTATGTGCGAACGACAAAATTTTACAACCGTCTATAGATGTATGCGTTTCTACTGAAATAACTGCACATCGAATTTATATGCGATTTTGTTTCTAATTTGTTCAAACACAGTTTTTCAAAGATATCGAGGCCAGCAGGAATTTATTGGCTGAGCAGACGCAAACTATGCTGGTCGATCCACTCAACGACTACATCAAGACCACATTCAGCGAATTCAAGGAGGGGAAGAAGGCAAGGATATCACACGCGCCCACTAGCACATCATATAACAAGCTACAGATTGTTGCGACGTGATTATTGTGTGTGTATAACAGAGCCTGTCCATAGGGCGAGTTGTTTATGACAATCTGTGTATTGTGGTATCTTTGTGTATACATCTATACCATGGATAGCGTTTTCCATTGTCAATATTACTCGCACGTGTTTTTTATTATTCGTATATAAGATGCATATGTACATTTATGTGTATTTGTGGGAGGGCGTTCGCAGTTGTTAAGCATGTCCACAGTCTCGACTTGTCCAATTGAGTACCAGTACTTCATGATGATTCAGACCCGAACAGAGTTGGTGCGAGCTAAGTATTCAATCAGTACTATCAAACCCTACATAAGCCTAGGCCCATCATCTTACCTACAGCTGATATTCCACAACAGACGTATGAGAAAATTAGCGCCGACTTGGAGACCGCGTCCAACAAATATGCGAGTGCTTCACTTAAGAAGGTATGTGCAATAAGGTGAATAGGATATATTTTATAAGGTGGATAGGGGCTATCTTACTTAGGGGGTAAATTTAATAAGGCGAATAGGATATATTTTATTTAGAGGATATATTTTATAAGGTGGATAGGGGCTATCTTACTTAGGGGGTATACTTAATAAGGTTGATAAAGGCTATTTTGTTTAGGGGGTATGTGTAATATGGTGGATAAGGGCTATTTCATTCAGGGGGTATATTGAATATGGTGGATAGGTACTATTTTTTATAGGGCGTATTTTACTAAGGCGGATAGGGCCTATTTTATTTACAAGATTCATTTAGAGGGTAGATTCAAATGCGTACCGTTTATAGATGAGTTAGCATACATGCGCTTCATGTCGGTTAGTACCGGTGGTTGTTGATCGTGGTAAAGATAAGACAAGCTGTCAGTGATGTGGATTTTCTTGAATCAGGGCATATATGTACGTGTGCTTTGCTCTGAGAGGATTTTTATTTGCGTAGTCTTTATTACTTTGATTGGGTGGCGCGAACGCTAATTCACTCAGTACTGTTGAGATATTTTACGTGAAAAACTAGTGAAGTGGACGATCAGCCGTGAGTAGTCTATAGTACGTGGAATAGCGACACTCCCTCGCGATACACCCGAACGTACCAACATTAATATCACGTGCCAACTCAGCACGTATGAGCGATATACGTCTACGACTACAGGAAAACGTATAGAGGACGTGTATTTACGTATCACCATACGACTATGGAAGGGAAACTGTTTGACGTGGCTAACAATAGGAGACGCCTTCATAGCTTGACCTTTTGAATCAATGGCAAAGTGAAATACATCAGAACATAGGGTTAATGTGGTGTCACGCCTCTCCCAAATCTTATGGGTTTTCACCAACCAGATTTCATCGTTCATCTACATACCTAACCCCCACTATTGTGACATGCCACATTTAACATTTCCATATACGCTCTTCTAGCGTATACAGAAGAGCATTCGTGTGGATGCTTGTGCTCACGATTACAATATACTGTGTTGATTACTTCCAATGCATGCAGCCGGATGAGATCAAGATGGCCGAAAATGTCTACGAAGCCACCGAGAGTATATACAAGTTCATGTCATTGGACTACACCTATCAAGTAAGTGTGCATCCGTTCCTACAGATATTAAATTAAATTATATAGGAGATGACTCCATATGCGTGATCTAGTTAGTCGACTCTGTGCAGCTCAATTGATAGTGTTACCAACTGTCAACGGCGGTTGACAGCAACTGCGTGCGAGCTGTTTGTCCCTGGATTAATATTTCTTCTGACTTCACAAGTTGAGTTTACAAGCGTTTAGCATCATCAGAGAGGCATAAACTCTATCTACATATGTACGTGGGTTCACAGTGTATACAACAGTACATCAACCACACCCTGTGTCTTATGCTATTGGAGAGACTATTGTGAATCGGTCATGATCTCCGCCTCGGCTAGTGGCCTGCGGAAGAAGCGTTGTGTAGAAACAGCATGATTCGCGGATCCATTGAGATCCTGAGCTCTCTCACTGACAAACTACAGTCCCAATGCAAAGTAGTCATGCACCCAATCCTGATGGTACATCCCTGGTGTCCCCGTGCAGGTAAACTGCGTCACGGCTAAGAGGCGGTATGTGATCATGGACAGGTTCGTGCAGATGATGTTTGGCTACATGACGTTCTACCGCCAATGTGCGGAAACGATAAAGGAGATGGAGCCGTTCATGCGAGACCTCATGGGTATGATTTGTGTGGCCTTAGATTAAGGTTGATTGTGGACTATAGCGAGTGGTATTGCCAGATGTCTGGAGTGAATAATTTGCCCTTGTTCATAGATGGATCGCGCAATCGTTCCTATAAATTGATATGTGTATGCGGATTTCCTGATATCTGATTTCCATAGGATCGTAAACAACAACTAAATGCCCTATCATTATCAAGCTTCTATACATTGGAATTACCCTCGCTGTGAAAGTATAGGATCACGTGTCACTGTGTTGTTTGTTTTGGTACGCCGAGGAATATACGCACAAAATGTTTTGAAGAAGTACAGCAGCATCAAAAACAAAACTACATTGGCACTGGTTTCCACTGATATAACAAACTGCTCACGGAATCTCAATATAGCACTCAGAAAACTTGACACAAGATTACATACGCGTTTAAAAGATCCGAGTAGACATACCGACGTTCGGTTTGGATTTGCGTCCAATACATTCGGAGATATAGAGGTGCTGACATAATCGACAAAACCAAAAACTTACATTTCAGCTATTAACATGTGCAACTCCGCAACAAAAGTATATCTGAATGCTCACTCACTTGATATCTTCCTCTTGATTCGCTGTATGACTGCTGGCTGGTACTCTCCTGATGGAATCTGTGCCTCTCAGCTGAGCTACAAGTGGTATGCACATTGTGGTCAGGTGTCTTTCTGTACATCCAACACACGCATGTATCTGCAATCTCAACATCTAAATCTGCATTTGCCAACAAACTGCCACCGAAATACTGTTGAACTGTTCGTGCAGGCCTCTTTCTTTCGTTCTTGGTGTCATTGCGATAATCTATTGCACCAGTAGTTTGTTATCGCACGTACTCTGTGTTTTATGGCTTCCAAGCACGGCTTGAATTTTCGGTTCTATTTATGGTAATACGTAATGATGTAGTTGTTATTCAACTATGTGATGTATTGTGTCATTCACGTACGCTCGGAAGTCCAGGTTAGAAACTTAACAGAGGCTATCTGTGATTACATTCTGAACAGAGAGAGAAGTTGTTTCAAGAGCTAGACAAAGACATGGAGAGGCGGCATGATATGGTGCGAGAACAGCAGAACAGAGATGATCTGCAGACAGAGCATCAGGCCAGAACAAAGCGAGACGAAGTGCAAGTGTCCACGGTATGTTATTCGAGGGTTAAGTGCTCTGTTGACTTCTTCAAGTGTTGTACGAGAACATTGCTGCTTGCAATAAGGTTAGGTATGCTATGATGTAATATTATATACATATAAATATATATATATACATATATATATACATATATAAATATATACATATATATATATATATATATATATATATATATATATATATATATATATATATACTATATATATATATATATATATATATATATATATATATATAT